TCTTCCTACCCAGTGATCTGCCAGCCTCTGAATCCAAAGCTGTTGGTAGAGCTTTAGCTGCCCTATATCTGCCTTTTATCATCTTTGCTGATCATCCCCTCAGGTCCTTTCTGCATTCTCTCATGACAGCTAATTTTGTGCAAAAGTAATCTCAGAGTAAGGTGTTTGTGCTTGATAATAGCTTAATATTTTACCACTCCTGTAGTTTTATTGCATTTTAATAGGGAGTTCCTGCACATAAAATGGCTTATCTTACCTCCAGAGAATAAAGCAGAAGGGGTGGAATTTGGGGCATCATGCTAGGCCAATGAGAAGGATATTTTGGGCAGACAGGGCCTTTCCTGTCATTCTATTTTCTATCTCTATAACCCATGGTCATTAACATTGTCAGAATGCATTCAAGATTAAGAATAAAGATCTAAAATCTATCACCATGCAGGAAAAAAATTTACATAGATATAAAAGAAGAAAGAAAACATCCTTAAAATTATCATGAGTTAATTTTGTGCAAATATTGTTATCGTAAAATACAGACAATTAAGGAAATTAAACTGTTACTATCTTGTTGATTTTTATAATTGAGTAATTTAAAATGGCAATTCCTTAAAATAATATTTAAGAATAAAGTATAACACAGACACAGGAAAATGTATGAAGTCATTATTTATCAAAAAATGATATCCAAATAATCTCTCTTCTGGCAAAGAAAATATTTCCTAATAAATAATATCTAAGTTTTGAATTTTACTTTTTAATTTTGTATAAGAGGAAACATGCTATTTATGTTTACTCATTGGTATTCTAACATGTTTCTATGATTCAGCCATCTTGTAATGCTATAGCTTTCTGATTTTCAAAGCAAAATATACTTGTATATATGTAGAATGTCTACTGAAGAACTATTATTTTTAATTCAAAAATGACTAATGTTGATATGTTATATTTTTACTTTTAATATAGAAATTTACATTGCATATAGTCTCTGATGAATAAAATTCCTTAACAAACTGCAAAATAAAAAAGTATGAGTGGCATAAGAATAATATTAATTTATTCTTCACACAATTATAAGTTAGTTGAAATGTTGTTTCCTCAGAATGGCATCTGTGTTGTTTCTGAACTAGTGGGTATCCCAGGGCATGGATGAGAGTAATTCACATAGTCAGATCTAAAATAGAATCAAGGGTAAATATTCTCTATTTATTTGATGGTTTATCCAGATTCTAGATATACACTTTTGTTATAATGAAGAGTTAACACCAATAACTCTAATATACAGGTAATGTAGAAGATCAGTTTTAGTGGAAGATCAGTTTTGTAAACTGGTTTTACTATACTGCTGATTCAGTCATAAATAAACCTCTTGTTTAAGAATGTCAGTGCAATATGTTGCCAAGTGCTTCTGTTTCACACAAACACCCACTAACCCCATACCACACATGCAATTAAGCTAATTTATTCAAATAATTCTTTGAAAAAAATCTAAAAGATTATTTTCCCCTTATATCTATGTATTTTTAATTGGGTTAATGATAAATATCTTGGAGATACAAGCCCAAAATTATGGAAGTAAATCTTTTTATAATACCAATTATCATATATTTATGATTTATGTATTTATTTCTCTGAGTTGTTTATATGACCATATAAATAATTCAAATGTAAATATTTTTAGGAGTCATTGAATACAATTCTATAACTTCATAGCTATTTATTAGAGTTTTAAATTACTTCAATTTTATATTTACAGATAAAATAATTCTAAATTAATTATATGTGTTTGTACTACAAAACAATCAAATTAGTTACTTTGGACAAATTAACTTGATATTTTATAATTAACTAGAAATCGTTGTTTGATGATAATTAGAGCACATCTCACCCAAACCTCTACTATTTACTTGTTGAGAAGAAAGAATTTCCATGTGATTAAAATATGGCAGAAACAATTTGATTCCAATATATTTTTTAGATAATTTAATCAATATTTTTAAAAATCACTGCATATTATGCCTTAGTTTTAATTGTGCTTTTTTTAGAAATATTTTTATAATGGTTGTTTTTCTTAATACTCTGGTTTCCTATATATTGAATAGCATGTACCTTTATCTCCATTTTTAAATTTTAAGTGACTGATCAATCATAGATATTTAGTGATAGATTGGTGGCCTCAATACAACTTTTTATAATTTCTTCATATAAAATTCTCTTGCAAAGGGAGAGGGGAGACTACACATCCAAAAAGAATGGGTAATCTCAAGTCAAACATTAATGTTTTCAAATGAATTTTAAGGTGGCTTATGCCAACATTAAGTGTGGTCCATTGTGATTTTCCGTACAAACAATATGCATGCAGGTGCTACCATTTCTGCCTCCTGTGTAAACTTGGCCTCTTGCTTGAGAGATAAATGAGCTCACTTCAGGGTTGGGCCTATGGGCAGATGATTGAAATTCAGGAAAGTGTTTATACCTTTTCAGGAGAGTATTTCTGTCAATGCATTTCTGCATGGGAGGTCTCAAAGGATGTGGATAGATGGAAACAGAAGGGAAGATTATTGGGAGGAAATGAAAGAGATTAGTTTCTATTGAGGCCAGGCAGGCGACCTAGTTTCATAACAGTGGAATGTATATTCTGATAGACACTTTTTAAGAGAGAGAAAGAAATCTTGGATAGAGGGCCTGGCTTAATTTCCAGCCAATTCACATCTAGTCTTTTTGAAAGGCCTTTCTGATCCCACGAGAAGCTTTTATTTGATATATGTTTCATGTGCTGGGTTTATCTAGGACTCAAATAATCACACAGAGCATTTCTCGTCTGGATTACACAGCATGCTCCTGGCCTCAGCAGGCTCTTTTTGGGGTTTCTGAGTTAAAATAAACAAACATAAAATCTGAAAGACATATATGTGATTCTCAGGTCACAGAGACCTTTTCAGAATAACTTCTTACTTCCTTATGAAATTGAAAAACAAAACTTTCTGTCATCAACAAAATTGCAAATAATTCCACAAGATGTTTCTTTGTAAAAGGACGATCATGGAAAGTACAAAAAGCTCTAGAATGGAAAATTGAAAGACTGTGGTTAGCCATACACCGAATGATATTAGTCTAGCTGGTAGCTGGTAGACTCATACGCGATTTGCTTTCAACAAATTATGCTTCCCAAAACTTTATGTGGATTATAGTTACTGGAGTAAATTTCTTAGGAAGTAGGCTATACACCCTGCAAATTATGTTTTCTTAAATTCTGAAGTAAACATGTTTGTTTGCTTTGTTTGGGTGGGTGCCACACCCAACAGTGTTCAGGACTTATTCCTGGCTCTTGTGCTCAGGGTTCACTCTTGGCATGGTTCAAGGGACCATTGTAATGTCAGGGAAAGAAGTTAAGTCATCCCTGTGCAAGACAAACACTTTACCATCTATACAGTCACTCTGGTTCACCTGCAATAAAACTTTATAACTTAAATTCAGAAAGTTCATATGTGTGTCTTCCATTGAAACTATATAAATTCTTGACATAAGAGAATTTTATATGTTCATGTGCAGAAATATCTTTAAATCTCTAGCATCTTGAAAAAAAATCTGACTTGGGGACAGTATTCCAGCGTTCAAGGCATACATTAGAAAATGTAATTCCTGATGATATGAGGCAGAATTTTTTTCTTTTTTTCTTCCTTCCTACATTTCTTTCTCTCTTTTGCTATCAAAACCAGAAAATTATAAATGTTAGGCAAATCTTGTACTGTAAGCTACATCCCTGGCCCTCAAAGTTCAATTTTATAAAACATTGGCTACACAAGATATTTTAGTGGATGTATTCCACACATTATACAATCAGATTCTCTGAAACATTTTATCCAAAACATATTTTTATTACTTTTCCAAAACTTACAGGTCAGGAGATTTTTTCTAGGCAGTCTCACCTCCAATGTCTAACTCAGAAAGATAATTCCATTTCATATATTCATATGCTAGTCTGATTGTCTTCTTTAAGTTTATCCACCACTGTTCTAGTCCCTATATTCTAGACTATACTCACAATGAAATAATTGAAGTTCATTTCCACCTGCCATTTTTATAACCACTCAGATTCTATCAGTTTCCTTTCTCTTTTTTTTCTCCCTCCTAATGCCTACACAATTTTTTTGCTACTCTTTCCAGGAAGTATTTGTTATTCATTAACAATAATTTTGTAGTTAATAAAAATCGGAAACACAACTTATTTTTGTGTATTGATTTTGTGTCCTGAAAATGCTGAGTGTAGAGTTTTATTAATCAATATTTTTTTATTGTTTTGACCAATCTTTAGACTTTCCTACATATAAGATCACATTGACTGCAGACAGCTTCACTGCTTTTTCCATTCAGCAATGTTTACTTATGTCTTCTGCCTTACTTCTTTGACTTTAACTTCCAGAACTGCAGAAAAGACAGTTTAAACACCCTTGTCTTGTTACTTACATAAAGCAAGTTTTTACTTTATCAACAAATATGATGCCAGAATGCACACATGTGATGTATGCTTAAGAAAGAACTAATGTATCTTTTGCACAATTTTCTCTGCATGTAATATGATGAAAATAGCTCCAGTCAGGAAATTCTATTGATCAAGGAAAAATCCATTACATCACTTTTTGTTTATATTTATTTCCACTTTGGGGAGCCACACTCAGCTGGCTTTGTGCAAAAACATCATTGTTAATGATCTTAAGGGCCATGCAGAGTGCCTGAGATCAAACTGAGGTCCATCACGTGCAAGGGAAGCCCCTTACTCACTCTCTAGACACTCTCTCTTTCTCTGGTCTACCACTTTTTCACTTTAAGCAACAGTTATTTTTCTCATATTATCCTGCAGTATAGTTCTCTCTTATTTTTCCATTGATTCAAATTTCTGGTGCTTTTATTAACTTATTTAGAAATTCTTTGTTATGAAATATAAGAAAAACTTATCCTTTTTGTGTGACATATATTTAAATGTAATCTTTGCTTGTATTTTTTAGAAGATGCTTATAAGACTCAAGTTAGGATTGATAATGAGCCAGCCTACTTGGACATCTTGGATACCGCTGGTCAGGTAAGAAACTTTCTAAACATCCCCGATCTCTAAGAACTGCTTCCACCTTAAATTTATTTGAAGAATTTACCACAAAATGAATTTAACTATTCTCACAGAAAAGAACAAATTTGCCAAAGCAATAAGGATCTGTGCAAGAAATGAATTGGCAGAAAACCATAGCTCCTTGCCAACCAGAATATTTCAACATTCCTTAATTTTCTAAATATAAAAATAAAGTGTTGATGTTATATTGCCAATAGGATCTTAAAATTAGTTTATCATTCTTTAATTCTACATAAAACTGCATCTCAGACATTAATCTGATGATGACCTTTATTAGTCAAATAATAAAAAAAAGAGAAGACCATTCAGCAAATATGCTCACAAAACCAGAGATATGGATTCAGAAAAGGTGATAAATCTTGCAAACCAGTGCACTGGATGGTTGCTGAGGCCGGCAGGAGCACTATTTTTTGCCCCCACAGAGTAGCAGGATGAGGCTGGTAACTGGGACTCCTGGTGTTTTGGAGACTCAGGGGATCTCACAGCAATTTTGAAGGACAGGGACAATGACAGTCAATCACTTTATGCTTTTGCATGGCTGTGGGTAGCTGTGAGCCAATTCTACTTAATCTTCAGGGGAAAACTTTCATATCAGAAGAGCCCACGTGAGTCTGAGTGACGATTAAGAAGGGTTGATGGGCAACTACCCAGTGTTGCCTCCACAGACATAGGTTCTTATATGCAGCTCTAGGAGACCTATGTACCACCAGCTGCCTTCTTGCCACAGGGTTCCCATGCTGGAGCCTGCTTCAGCTCCCTTTGCAGCTTCTGGTGACTTGTGAACTGTGAGCAGGCACATTCATGTGGAAGCATGTGCCGGGCCCATCTTTCAGTTCTGGGTAACCTGTCTGCTCACCACAGGGCACCTCCACTTGAGTAAACCCCTGTCTGATCCTACAATAAGTGGCCTGGAAGGCTACATTATAGTCTGCTCTCCCCCAGAGAACCTCTCTGAAGAAGTCTAGCCTCTGGGAAGTGTTTGTTACTTTAGACCTTCTGGTTTCACCCTCTGAAAGTGGCCAGTTGCCGCCGGGAACTCCAGTTGCCGTCCTACACCACTGGTTCTCTGCCATCAGTCTGTCATGGTGGTCTTGCTCTAGAGAACAAGAGAATTAGAGAACTCTGTGCTCTGAGCTCCCTGCTGCCTCTCGGAGAGCTGCTTACACACACATGCAGCTAACCATCTGAATACTACAGTTCTGATGGTCCTGTCAGAGTTCCTGCTTCTGGGAAATTCCCCGGTTTCAGGTTTCTCTCTCTGGTACTCTCTCTCAGTGCAGTGGTGTGCGACTTCTCAACCGTTGTCAAAATTCTGTTTTCCTACTTTCCTTAAAGAAGAATCCACTGCACCTGGTCCCTGGTATCTCTGATTAGTCTTCAGATAAAGGCCTGTAAAGACATCTGTCCACGAGACTGGTTTAGTTCCTGAACCCAGGGAGTACTTCTGTTTTGAATCTACTTCTTCCACCTTGTCTCTGCCTAGATGAACTTCCTCTTAACAAGCAAGATCCTTAAATTCTCCTTCCTAGTCTATTTAATATTAGCCATATGCTAATGTATTACTTACCTATTTAGGACTTTTAATTAATTAATTAATTAATTAATTTTATTGAATCACCGTGAGATACAAGCTTTCATGTTTGGCTTACAATCACAAAATGATCAAGCACCTATCCCTCCACCAGTGCACATTCCCTACCATCAATATCCCCAGTATTACCCCCCCCTTTCCCACCCTCCCCTGCCTCCATGGCAGACATGAGTACCCATAATCTCTCTTTACTTTTGGGCATTATGGTTTGCAATATAGACCCTGAGAGGTTATCAAGTTTGATCCTTTATCTACTTTCTGCACACATCTCCCATCCTGACCGATTCGTCCAGCCATCCTTTTCTTAGTGATCCCTTCTCTATTCCAGCTTCCCTTTCCCCTCGGCTCATGAGGCAGGCTTCCAGCTATGGAGCAATCTATCTGTCCCATGTATCTACTATCCTTAGGTGTCAGCCTCATGTTATGTTGTTTTATACTGTACAAATGAGTGCAGTTCCTCTATGTCTGTCCTTCTCTTTCTGACTCATTTCACTTAGCATTATACTCTCCATGTCTATCCATTTAGAAGCAAACTTCATGACTTCATCTCTCCTGACAGCTGCATAGTATTCCATCATGTAGGTGTACCAAAGTTTCTTTAACCAATAATCTGTTCTAGGGCACTTGGGTTGTTTCCAGATTTTGGCGATTGTGAACAGTGCTGCAATGAACATATAGGTACAGATGTCATTTCTACTGTGCTTTTTAGCATCCTCTGGATATATTCCCAGAAGTGGTATTGTGGGGTCATATGGAAGCTCAATTTCTAGTTTTTGAAGGACTGTCCATATTGTTTTCCAGAAAGGCTGGACTAGTGGACATTCCCTCCAACAGTGAAAAAATGTCCCTTTTTCCCCACATCCATGCCAGCACTGGTTTTGTTCTTTTGAATGTGTGCCAGTCTCTTTGGTGTGAGATGATATCTCATTGTTTTGATTTGCATCTCCCTGATGGCTAGTGATTTGGAGCATTTTTTCATGTGCCTTTTGACCATTTGTATTTTTTTTTTTGAGGAAACTTCTGTTCATTTATTATCCCCACTTTTTGATGGGGTTAGAAGTTTTTTTCTTGTACAATTCTACTAGTATCTTGTACATCCTAAATACTAATCCCTTATTAGGTGGGTATTGGGTAAATATCTTTTCCCATTCTGTGAGACCTTTCTGTATTCTTTCTCTGTTTCTTTAGTAGTGCAGAAGCTTCTGAGTTTGATGTAGTCCCACTTGTCTACGTTTTCTTCTACTTGCTTAGTCAGTGCTGTTTCATCCTTAAAGATGTTTTCAACTTCAATGTCGCAGAGAGTTCTGCTTACATTTTCCTCTATGTACCTTATGGTGTCATATATCTGATGTTGGAGTCTTTAATCCACTTTGATCTGACTTCTGTGACTGGCATTAGACAGAGGTCAGCATTCAATTTTTTGCAGGTAGCTATCCAGTTTTCCAAGCACCACTTGTTGAAGAGGCTTTCCTTGTTCCACTTCACATTTCATGTTCATTTGTCAAAGATTAAATGGTCATATATTTGGGGGTCTGCGAAAGAATATTCAACTCTGTTCCATTGGTCTGCAGGTCTGTTTCTAGCCCAGTAGCATGCTGTCTTGATTAGTACTGCTTTGTAGTACAGTTTGAAGTTGGGGAAGGTTGATGCCACCCATCTTCTTTTTCCTAAGGATTGTTTTAGCTATTTGTGGGGAGTTATTTTTCCATATGAATTTCAGGAGTATTTTGTGTACTTCTTTGAAAAATATCATGGTTATCCTGATAGGGATTGAATGTGTATAGTGCTTTGGGTAGTATTGCCATTTTGATAACATTAATCCTCCCTATCCATGAGCAGGGGATGTGTCTCCATTTCCTAGTGTCCTTTTTTATTTCTTGAAGTCGTGTTTTGTAATTTTCCTTGTATAGGTCCTTCACCACTTTGGTTAAGCTGATTCCAAGGTACTTGATTTTCTGAGGTATTATTGTGAACGGGATTGCTTTTTTAATGTCTATTTCTTCCCTTTTGTTATTTGTATATTAAGAAAGCTATGGACTATTGGGTGTTGATTTTGTAACCTGCCACTTTACAAAACCAACCTACTGTTTCTAGGAGCTCTTCTGTCTTTAGGGTCCTCTGAGTATAGTATCATATCATCTGCAAATAGTGATAGTTTGACCTCTTCCTTTCCTTTCTGTATTCCCTTAATACCTTTCTCTTGACTAACTGCAATGGCCAAGACTTCCAGTACTATATTGAATAGGAGGGGCAAAAGTGGGCAAACTTGTCTTATGCCAGACCTTAGAGGAAAGGATTTTAGTTTTTTCCCCATTGAGAATGATGCTTGCTGTTGGGCTTGTGGTAGATGGCTTTGACTATACTGAGGAAAGTTCCTTCAATGCCTATTTTGCTGAGAGTTTTCATCATAAACAGGCGCTGGATCTGGTCATATGCTTTCTCTGCATCTTTTGGCATGACCATATGGTTTTTATCTTTTCTTTGTTTGATACGATGGATTATGTTGATCGATTTCCGAATGTTAAACCATCCTTGCATCCCTGGGATGAATCCTACTTGGTCATGGTGTATGATCTTTTTGACGAGTCATTGGATTCTATTTGCTAATAGTTTGTTGAGGATCTTTGTGTCTGTGTTCATCAGGGATATCGGCTTGTAATTCTCTTTCTTGATGGTATCTCTGTCTGGTTTTGGTATCAGGGTGATATTTCCTTCGTAGAAACTGTTTGGAAGTGTTTTGATACTTCAATTTCGTGGAAAAGCTTAAAGAGGATTGGCAGTAAGTCCTCTTAAAAGATTTGGAAGAATTCACTAATGAATTCATCTGGGCCAGGACTTTTGTGCTTGGGAAGACTTTTATTTTCTATTTCAATTTCCTTGATGGTGATAGGTCTGTTCAGGTATTCCAGGTCTTCTTGGTTCCGCCTTGGGAGGCTATAAAAATCTAGGAATTTATCCATTTCCTCGAGGTTTTCCTATTCTGTGGCATAAAGCTTCTCAGTACTCACTGAGGATTCTTTGAATTTCTGTAGTTTCTGCTGTAATGACCTCCTTTTCATTTATGATTCAGTTTATAGGGTTTTCTCCCTCCCTTTCTTTGTGAGTTTCGCTAGAGGCTTATCGATCTTGTTTATTTTCTCAAAGAACCAGCTCTTGGTTTCATTGATCTTTCCGATTGTTTTTTAGGTTTCCATCTCGTTAATCTCCGCTCTAAGTTTCATTATTTCCTTCCTCCTGTTTGGATTGGGCTCCTTTTGTCGTTACTTCTCCAAGCTCTTAAGTTGTGAGGTGAGGTTACTTATGTGGGCTCACTCCTCCTTACTGAGGAATGCTTCTAGAGCTATAAACTTTCCTCTTAACACAG